CCCCCCCCCCCCCCCTCGCCCCAGGTCTAAAATAAACCGCTTTTGTTCCAAGAAGGTGTGGTTTTACTTAGGACATGACTGACTTTTTCAGTTTAGGTTGTTGGGAAAGTGACTGTGTTTGATCGCAACCACGCACAGCATCAGTCATTGTGTGTATGGATGTTTCAGCCGCCTCCGCAAGTCTTCTCGTAAAGCATATTTCTCTGCTTTACTTTACACATTCACAGTTGTACTCAGCTATTTCGTGGAAGGTTGGCAGCTCAAGAGGGAGCTCTGGATTTTCTGTCCTGGCACAGACCCTAACAGAAGTTGGGATTCCTCTTGGCAACACCCTTCCTGGTTCAGTGGTGTTATTAGCTGTTGCAAGGGATTTTAATAGCGCAGAATTCAACCAAGGGATATTTCAAAATGCAATTTTATCAAGGTTATTGAGGACCTGCTCCCACTGCACCTCAGCTCAGCACATGCAGAGTCCTAGATCTGGATATATGAAATAAGGGAATAAGCAGCCATGATGAAGACGTCGCACAGACTGACAGCTTTTAACCATTGGCTAAAGTCCTCAAATCCCAAATGTCTGCCTGGAATTTTCAGATGCCTGTATTTCAACTCAAGGAATTCAAGGCAGTGGCAGGTGCAGACAGAAAAGGCCCTGCTCACCAGTACATGCTGCCAACCAGAAAAAGTCTAAATGCACTCAAAATGAAACTTTTGTTTTTCTTTTTTCTTTTTTTTCTTGTTGACAATTAGCAACTGCATTATTGATTGTCAGGATCTGGTTGTTTTTTTTTCACATGGACAAATGTGCCCTTTAGACTTCCAATGCTGCTCCTTTTTACAAAATGTTTTGTGGTTGCGATAACGAGAGAAGTTCCCCGCTGACCTGCATTTAAACTTTGTGTTTAAACAGCACAGGCCTGTTCCAGTGTTTATTGGAGGCCTGTTAGACGATGCCCTGGGAATCACTGTGTATTTATGATGAATAGCCCTCTACCTCCACATGTCTTGTTAACACTTTTATCTCTGAACTGATCAATGTTGGAGACAGAAAAGCATTGTTCATAAATCTTCTGTTAATGTATTTTTAGTGACTTAGGATGTCATGGAGAAGTACTTAAAAGTGTACTAGAAATACAAAGTGTTCACTTTGTGTCCACGTCTAAGGCCCTTTTTTGGCTTTTCCTTAATGTATTAAGTCATACATTTCAAAGCCTTCAAACTGTTGGATTTTATTGTCTTTTTACTGCTGTTCAATTTGAAGGGTCTTCATTAATGTTTTCTTAAAGGACTGATTTATTTTCTTGATATGAAAAATTATTATCATCCATTGAACTTTTCTCATCAATTAATTTTATTCCCAAACTCCTCCTGGTTTTTTATGCTTAGTTATTTAGGTGTAAATCCTGGCTCACTTTGGAAATAACTGATCTTTCTGTCAGTGCTATCTCAGTCCATATGTATTACTATGTGATATAACTTTTATCTTCCAAAATTGCCTCATAGTTTTTGGATGTTTGGATGTGAATGTCTATAACAAGAGCCTATTCCACAGCTAGCTAATCTTCTGATCTTGTTCAGTGTTCCAACATAGCACTAATCAGGGTGAGGGGGACCCAGTAGTTGATGGTTGATATTGACTTAGTTTGTGAAGTATTTATATTGACTATCTAAAAGCATTTATAGTGCTGTCCAAATTATTGTAGAGAAATCTTTTAGTATGGTGGAGGAAAAATATTATTGTTGTCTTTCACTACCCAAACCATAGAGACATATCTATCTATTTTACCATCCATCCTCCACAATGCCAAACTCCTCTGTGGTGAGCGCTGTAAAGAAGACCCTCAGTATTCTCAATTCCCAGCTGCCTCTCGGTTTCTTTCCCCTGTCAGCAGAGTGCTGAGTGAGCGGCTGGTTGCCTGTGTTTACCTTATTAATTAGCCCAGTGATCCAGAAACACTCTCCCTCTGGTAAATAGAATAACACTGGGGGGTTACTCACAACCAATGAGAGAAAAAATAAGAAAGCAAGCAGAAGCCAAGGAAAGGGAGGAGAGGAGAGGGATGGATAGAAAGTTGGACAGAGAGTCAGAGTCTGCTGTTGAAGCTTTTCTTTTAAAGGCATAGTGAGTGGAGCTGAGGGGAAACGTGACACGGTGGGTTGTCTGTTGCCCAGCACATTTCTTGTGCTTAACACACTCATCTCTTCGTGTTTAATTTGCCTTTAGTTTAAAGACTGGACACACATTCCAGGCCTTTACAAAATTGGACAAATTATTACCTCAGACAGGGTGGAGTACTGATTTCTCTTATATTGTCATTTAGAAGTTCCCAGGTACTCAAGCGCATCTTTCCAATCGAGCAAAATCGCCCCAAAGTCAAAACAATCGGTAGACAAATTGGTTTGCCTGAGAGTGCCGTTATGAATCAGTTCCACGTTTTTTCAATTGCACCGCTCCTCCATTTTGGGCCACATCCCTGAGGTCTGCTGTTCAAGGCCATATATAGAGAGCCAAGAGATGGCGCACACCGAAAAGAAATACATTAACATGACTAAATGTTTTCACTGACTATTAGTTCACAAAGGGGGAAAACAATATGTTCCTCATTAGGCATTTTAAATTTGAGAAAGGTTAAAGGTTACAGTACAGTCTGATTAGGGAACAACTGAAACTTCCCTAGCAAGGACAAGTCTCCTTGGAATAGTTAAATCTACTAAATGATATGCTTGTATGTGTGTACTTCTACTGGTAGACTCCTCTCTAAAGTTGTGCCACTTGACATCTGACCACTAACCTCGCCCCCCCATGCAAAAAAACGCTAATTATAACACACTAAAGCTTGTACTTTAACTGCAAGATTGTCAACAGTATTGAGAATTGATTCTAGCCTTTTTGGTGACTCCTGAAGTAACTTCTTTTTTTTCTGTCAGTTGAATTTAGGACACTTTCTTTTGTTACAAGACATTGAAGAAAAAAGTAAATAGTTCTGGAATCCTTATATCATAGATAAATAGAGCAGACTTTTTTTTTTAATCTCAAGTGTTTTTGTCATTGGCTGAACTAATCCAGCCATTGTAACCATTGACTGAAGGAGACTCAAACAGATCTCAGCTCTAACTTTATGGTTTGAAAAATCTAAATTAAATGCAGTTGAGTCCAAAATTTCTGATCTATCCTGTGCTGTTGTTCATTTTTCCCTTATTTCCCCTCATAGCTACTTTTCTCTATCCCCTTAACCCATTTATCCCAAATCGGATGTCTCCTGCAGGCTTGCTATGATCAGCTGGCTATATCTGATTCTTCCACATCCTCTCCCCCTTTCTCTTCCTCGTTCACTCTGAGCATTTTTCAGCTCACAGCATACCAGACGCTCCCCCACAGCTCCCGAGAAATCCAGATAAATCCTGAGCAGCTGAAGGTCTGATGTTTGTATGTTTGGGTGAACCCTACAGGTCAGGAGGCCTTTGTGCAGTTACACATGAGATGGCAAAGTTTCATAGTAGTCCTCATGTAGGCTCCTGCTTTGAAGACTCAGATCAGCCCCACAAATGTTGTGAACATTTTAGGCTTTATCTGTGGGTCCGGTCGATACCCGTTTTGGATCTGATTTGGGGTTAAACGGAAATCCGTCAGGAATCACTTGAGCCTAAGAGGAATTTTCGGTTCTGAGTCTGTTCCCTGAGGAAATGCTTATACCTTTAGTGCGTTGGGGTTTTCTGTTTATAGCATGTGTATATTAAAAACACACGGCATGTAAGCTTGCCTGTCACATCAGAGAGGGATTTGAAAGGAGCTTGATATAATAAGTTCAGAGAAAAATGCTTTTGACAGCCCATGTCGGCTTCAATGTTTTCAGTGGTTCGGAATCAAAGATGTGTGCTTGTGCTGGAGATACACAGTATGTTCATTCTTTCTCAGAAGAGGCTGTTTTTGATTGGCTGCTGCTTTGACTTTAAAATGTAAACCTGATTTATCTCCCCTTCATTTTTTGTTTTTCAGCCCCGCAAGGCCCTTTCAATTCCCCAAAAGGTAGGACCTGCCAAAATCTGCTTCTACTCTGTTGATGTTCTGGATTGCAATCCTCTCCTTCTCCTTCCTTTGCTCTCCCTTTTATTCCTGTTGCCCATCGATCATTGCTCTTGTTTAGCCATCATTCCTCAGTAGTGAGTCATGGAAGGGAGTTGTGATTCTTTCTGTACCTGGCCTCAAATGACCAGTGACTTGGAAATCCTCACCTGTCCATCATATATAGCAGTAAAATCTCATTGTGGAATGTTTTGTAAAAAAATTCCACTCTTTACATCTCGATAAGTAAATACAGATTCATCGACACAGCAAAGCTCTAAAAAAGATGTAGGCTTTAACTAATCATGTCTCTTTTTTCATCTAACTGTAATCATTTTTGAAATTCTTTTAGTATATATTACTGAGCTTCAGTTTCTTCTTTTCCGTTTCTCCTCTCTGTCAGTTGGATATTTTCACAGGTATGGTTTTCCATGACTGTTTTCACCAGTTTAAAGTCTTCATCTTGTCTCCATCCCCAGTTATGCTGCGCTGATAGCTGATTGGCCAGTGGTTGTACTTGGCGTGTGCACAGTACTCATTGTGGTTTGTGCCCTTGTGGGCATCCTGGTGCCTGACCTGCCTGATTTCTCTGACCCGCTGCTGGTGAGTACATCTTCGTGAAGCTCTCCTTTTTTTTCATAAATTAAGCCTGGCTTGCTTGGTCTTTTAATATAAACTGAAGAATATTAGTAGTACATTAGTAGTACTAAGTGGATCCTTTTCCACCACATGGTGAAGCAGAGTTACGACAGCATCTGCATTTGTATTTCCTGGGTTACTGAGTAGGTGTGGTTCTGTTTTTCTCTTAGTTTTAATGCAGCTCAGTCACTGTGAATGACATCCAGATGGAGATTTTTTTTTTGTGTGTGTGTGTATTTTTGTCTGTTCATCCATGATGCAAAAAAGCATTCTGTAAAGTGTATGTTGTTGTTTCTATTGTTAGCTAGAGCTTGAGTTTCAAACTAATTTTAGGCAGAATGAATAAAAGGATGATTTTGGTCATTAACCCTTTCATGTACAGCTTTTTCAGAGCCATTTTCTTGAGTATATATGGGTTTTGATGTTTTTTACACAATAATATACTGTTATAGAGGAGCTGAGATAGACTAAATTAAATCAAGGGGCGGGATGAGCGAGAGTGAGAGAAGGGATGAGATAGTACTGAACATTACAATAGAGCTGCACGCAAAGTTGTGTTTATGCATTCTGTTAACAAATCTTAAAAGATGTGCACATTGTAAAATATAGTTAGTGATTAGTACGAAATCTTAAAACATATGCTGTCCACTTGAGCGGGCATCAGGAAAAATCCTTGAATTAATGCATTTTTTACAAGAAATATTTTACTTTTCTATGCCTTCAGAAAATCACTTTTGAAAAAAATCCTGACTGAAATTATCATAATTAATGCATGACAGGGTTAATATCATAAATCTTTATGCTCACCATCATGACGACAAAGTAATCTTAGCATGCAAAAATTTGTTTTACTTAATGTTCTCTTCTCTCTTTGTTAAAGGGTTTTGAGCCAAGGGGAACTGCAATTGGTCAGCGACTGGTCACATGGAATAATATGGTGAAGAACACAGGCTATAAAGCCACACTGGCCAACTACCCATTCAAATACGCTGATGAACAGGCCAAAAAGTAATCTTACACAAACTTTTGACATTATTTATATAAATAAGTGTTCTAAATGTTGAGAAAGACCCAGTTTACAGAGACGGATCAATAGATTTCTTTTTGTGTTGTTCTCTTGTGAATTCTCTCCTCAGTTAATTAAAGGGAAAGTCCATGCTTGTAGTTCAGTTCTCTGATGACATTGACTGTCCTCCACCCAGTTAATTGAAGTTATCATGACTATATTCCTATATAAATAGTGTATAATACAGATTGTGGCACAATTCAAGTCACCAGAAAGTGTATGAGTGGGCTATTGATTAGGAAACGTTTGCTCATTCTTAATTTATTTGTGATATAATCCAGTGTAGGGCTGGTGTGGTGGTTAGCACTATCGCCTCACAGCATGAAGGTTCTGGGTTTGAATCCCAGGGGGACCCAGGACTTATCTGTATGGAGTTTTCATGTTCCCCCTTTGTCTGCGTGGGTTCTCTCCGGGTTCTCCGGCTTCCTCCCACAGTCGTAAATCCTGCATGTTGGAGATTTCAAATTGCAGGTTCAGCTTACAAAACAACCCTACATCAGGGTGATGTGGTAATCAGAGCCAGGAGTGTATAGGGCTGCAGTTGAAGTATACTGTTGACAGACATGCTAAAAAGTCAAAATTACCAGGTAAAAGAACAGAGTAGCAAAGAAGAGAGTTGTTCACCATCTAGATCATCCTTTGCAGTCAGAGAAAAAATATTCTTTAACCAGGAGGAGAATGTTTTGCTGACTATCTGGCCTTAAAATGCCTATTTTCTTATTCCCGTTTGTTGATGTGTACACATAATCACGAAGATTTGCCTCAGTGGGTTCATGTATAAACCTAGCTAATAAAAAATGACCCATAATCGGCTTTCAAATGTTAAACTGCCACAATAAACTAAGCGTAAGATCAATCACTGAGAGCTTGTTTGCCGTTTATTAACACCAACAGGACAGAAGCTTTCTGAATCAGTTTCTCATCAGCAGAGGAATGCGTCCACGTGGTAATGATTAGAATGTCTAAAAATTGCAGCCCTGCTCTGCTGATGAGATAATGGATTTTCTCTCCGTCTCCCACTGCATCTGTAGCTGCCTTTGTCTGCCCAGCTCCTCGTGTCTGTCTTCAGATGTAATTGTGCACTTCTGTGTGTACAGCATGCAGGAGCCCTTTGCCTCTGTCAGCAAGTGACCAGTACCTCATCCCTTTGTCTATCAACCTTCGACCTCTTTCTGACATTCATCCAATTACCCCTTCTTTCCGTTTTTTGTAGATGTGGTCCCAAAATATACCCAAAAATTATTCAAAACACGAGAAATTTACTCACAGATAAAACGGTCTGTCTGGATCATAAAACATTACCGTAAACATATTTCTGACTACAAAACACATAATATATAGACCCCAGGCATAACCATTACTATTAGAATAACAGCAGAACCATAACTTGGGAGAGAAGAGCTGATTTTTCTGCCTATTTGATTACCGTGCTTCAATTGTTTTATTGACTTTTCAGCCTTAAGCTACAGTAACATCTCTCCTCAGTTTTACAATTTATGAAACCACACATCATGCCATCATTTTTTGGCTTTGGATAGTTTATTAGCCTTTCCATCTTCTGCGAGTATTCTCTTAAACTTGTGAGGTAGTTGGACAAAACCGATTCTGGCGGTAAGAAAATCCTTCTTTCCAGACTGGCAGTTGTGGTTGTGACAAGACATGTTAGACCATTATGTCTTTTGTGGTGGTTGATGAAGATGTTTATCAGGTTTTACTTTGTGTAACTATTGAAAAAAAAACATACAGATTTGATTTATTTTAACAAGGACAAAAAATATTAAAGTAAATGTATATTTAAAGTTCAAAAGGTCAATTGTGTTATGCTCACAACTTGGATTGTATTTTTTAATTCTGGCCCTTCTGATGAGTTTGACACCCCTCGTGTAAAATGAGGACTACACACAGATTAAGTCTGCGTCTGTTATTTTTCAGTCACCAAGAACCTAACCGAGAAAAGCGGCATGCAGAGTGGGACTTCAGCAAAGAGTTCTTTTGTGATGTGCCAGGTAAAGTTCTGGCAGATCCCGCCAGACAACTTGTCTAATATAAAAAGATGTGTAAAAAAACAAAAAAAACAAGATCTTTAACTGTGAGATTTTCTTCTTTATGCAGGTGACAGTTACTCTAGGCTTGTGTTCACATCAGCTGAAGGAAAAAATATGTGGAATATACACACCATCAAATCAATGTGCAGTCAAGACAATGTAAGAGTAAGTACATGGAATATCAAAGCCTTTCCTACACAATACCAATGATGAGGGATGGATGGTTAGCCTCAATCATGTCCTAACAATACCCTTTCAGTCTTCTTAGTTTGACTTTTTTAATCCTTTCTTTTCAAGGTGCGCTCCCACCGAGACTACTGGAGTCTCTGTCAACGCACCAATGATGCCTCCTGCTGCCCAAGCTGGACACTTGGTAACTACATTGCTGTTCTCACTAACCAGTCGTCCTGTCAAAAAATCACAGAACGGGATGTTTCTCACACACTGAAAATCCTGCGCTCATGTGCTAAGTACTACCATAATGGCACGCTGGGACCTGACTGCTGGGACATGACCCTGCGACGAAAAGATCAGCTCAAGTGTGGTGGCGTGCCCCGCAAGTGCACCAGGTACAATGCTGTGTACCAGATCCTTCATTATCTGGTGGACAAAGACTTTCTCAGTCCCAAAAGCCTGGAGCATCCCCCACCAGTGCTGAAGTACAGCATGCTCTTCTCTCCCACAGAGAAAGGAGAGTCCATGATGAACATTTATTTGGACAATTTTGAGAAATGGAATTCCTCAGATGGCATCACCACAGTTACAGGGATTGAGTTTGGCATCAAGCATGATCTTTTTCAGGATTACCTTCTCACTGACACCGTGTACCCAGCCATAGCCATTGTGATCGTGCTGGTGGTCATGTGTGTCTACACACGGTCCATTTTCATCACTCTAATGACAATAATCGCCATCATCAGCTCACTCATTGTATCATACTTTCTTTATCGAATGGTTTTCAATTTTGAGTTCTTTCCTTTCATGAACCTCACAGCCCTCATAATCCTTGTAGGTATAGGTGCCGATGATGCCTTTGTGCTGTGTGATGTCTGGATTTATACCAAGTACGATAAACCACACGCCAATCTGGCAGAAACGGTCAGCATGACCCTGCGGCATGCAGCCCTCTCTATGTTCGTCACCAGCTTCACCACTGCCGCAGCTTTTTATGCCAATTATGTCAGCAACATCACGGCCATACGCTGCTTCGGAGTCTATGCCGGCACGGCCATTTTGGTTAACTATATTCTAATGGTAACGTGGCTGCCTGCTGTGGTGGTGCTACATGAGCGCTACCTACCCAATGTGTTCACTTGCCCCAAGCCTCCGCACCAGCAAGGCTTCTGCACTCAGATGTTCTGGGCCGGTCTTTGCCAGAAGGCCAGTAAATGCCTTTTCACAGTCTCTGAGGCATCAAGGATCTTCTTCGAGAAGGTGCTGCCCTGTATCGTTATCAAGCTGCGCTACCTCTGGCTCCTCTGGTTCCTCGCCATCACAGTTGGTGGGGCTTATGTAGTTTGTATAAACCCAAAGATGAAGCTTCCATCGCTGGAGCTGGCAGAGTTCCAGGTGTTCCGATCCTCTCATCCTTTTGAGCGTTATGATGCAGAGTACAAAAAACTGTTCATGTTTGAGAGAGTGCATCATGGTGAGGACCTTCACATGCCTATAACAATCATCTGGGGGGTTACTCCTGTTGACAATGGAGACCCCCTGAATCCCAAAAACAAGGGAAAGTTGATGTTGGATACAACCTTCAACATAGCCAGCCCAGCATCACAAATCTGGATCCTCAACTTCTGCCAGAAGCTGCGGAACCAGAGTTTTGTCTTTCAATCAGATGAGCAGGACTTCACAAGCTGCTTCATTGAGACTTTTAAACAGGTCAGTAACATTTTTTTAGTATTTACGGAAGGAACCAAAATGGGACTGATAATCTGCTTTAATTTATTGATTTTTTTTATTTTTTATTACAGTGGATGGAAAACCAGGACTGTGAGGAGGCCTCCATTTACCCCTGCTGCAGCCAGTCTACTTTCCCATATAAACAAGAAGTGTTTGAGCTGTGCATCAAGAGAGCTATTATGGAGCTGGATCGAAGCACAAGCTATCATCTGGACAGCAAGACCCCAGGGCCTCGATTTGACATCAATGACACCATCAGAGCTATAGTGTTAGAGTTCCAGAGTACATTCCTCTTCACACTGGCCTATGAGAAGATGTTTCATTTCTACCGTGAGGTGAGAGTTTTGGTACTGAGGTTGAGGTTTAACCCCTGCCACTTTTAACTTCATACTGTCTTGGCTTCAGCTTAACCAAACCTGTGATTCTGCTTTTAGGTGGATGCCTGGATCACGGAGGAGCTGCGCTATGCCCCTGCAGGGCTCAGCCATGGCTGGTTTGTCAGTAACCTGGAGTTCTATGACCTCCAGGACAGCCTCTCCGACGGCACCCTGATTGCCATGGCATTATCCGTTGCCGTTGCTTTCAGCGTAATGCTGCTAACCACCTGGAATATCATCATCAGCCTGTACGCCATCCTGTCAATCGCTGGGACCATATTTGTGACAGTCGGCTCACTGGTGCTTCTTGGGTGGGAGCTGAACGTCTTGGAGTCCGTTACCATATCTGTTGCGGTGGGACTGTCGGTTGACTTTGCCGTACACTATGGCGTAGCCTACAGACTTGCTCCAGAACCCGACCGCGAGGGGAAGGTAATTTTTTCCCTCAGCCGGATGGGGTCTGCCATTGCAATGGCGGCAGTAACCACGTTTGTTGCTGGGGCGATGATGATGCCATCAACCGTTCTCGCCTACACACAGCTGGGCACCTTTATGATGCTTATCATGTGCATTAGCTGGGCCTTTGCAACTTTCTTCTTTCAGTGCATGTGCCGCTGCCTTGGGCCACAAGGTACCTGTGGTCAGATACCCCTGCCCAAAAATTTGAAGTGTCAGGCCCTCAGCAAAGCCACATCCACAAGCCCACCATATCAGAGCAAGCAGCTGGACGCCCAGAGCGGGGAAGCCGAGCACTATGAGCTCGAACCATTGGCACTTAGTCAAAAAGCTGATGATAAACCCTTAGAGGAGCACGAGATGTGCACTCAGCTCTATGATGGCATTGGTCCTCACCGCCACACTGCACCTTTTTCACACATCCACTACAGGGGTGATGAGAATGGGCATGTCGGTACAATTTGTGCACCATCCAGGTGTCAGTTCTCTCAAAACAGCACCTGTACATGTGGGGATCTTACTCCTCACCTGCTTCAGCAGAGGACCCCCTACTCCTGTGTTCAGCCTCCCTGCGACTCTTGTCCTGGTCCTCCCACCCCACAGCTCTTCCCCCTTGCAGGAAACAGCCCAAGCAAACAAAAAACAGCCATGGTACCTCCAAATCTAGACTCAGTCTGTCCTCACATGGAGTGTCGTATGCATTATGACCATTGCCCCCTCACACATTCCCATCACTGCTCCCAAGGAAGAGCATTGTCTCCCAGGCATGGACGTGCTCACGCCTGCCATCTCAGGAAGTTTTATACCCAGTCAGCAAACGTGCACTCTGGTTCAGTAGGAAGGCAGAGGTGTACAACACCAGCCTCAAAGCAGGACTCAGGTGCAGCTACAACAGAGTCTGATTTTCTTCCAGAAGAAAACATCCATCGACATGAAACAAGTATATCAGGTCCTAAATACTGCCAAAATATGAGCAGTGGGGCCCCAACACAACCCCATACTTGTTGCCCCCTGTTTGTAGCCTGTCAGGAAAGACAGAGGATGAAGGACTGTGATCCCTTCTGTGGGGAAAATCCTGCTTCTGGCACAATCACTGAAACAGAGCAGCATGGAAACATATGTCATAAAGTCCCTGGAAACCAGGAGAAGCCTGAAAGTATTCCCGTCACACGGGAGGACAGAGTCAAAAAGTGCGAGCAGAACACGAAAAGAGAGCGAGCGTCCTCTGCCTCTTCAAAGAAACTTTACTGCTTTACCAGTACATTGAAAGTGAAGTGCAATTCAACCTCAGAGTTTAATGTGTCAAATAATGAAACTGGCATGCCTTCAATCCTAGCAAACACTAATCCTTCCTCGGAAACCGTATGCTGAGGATAAACAGTTTTTTAAATAAAGGATCTATCTAGAACAAATGGTATATGGCCAAAACATATAATGTCTGCACACAGTCATATAAAATTGTGTTTTTTTAAAAATATCCTTTTTTATCACACAAAAAAGCACAACTGTGAATATTTTTATTTTTTACTTAAAAGTTCTTCATATATCAGTTGTTTTTTATTTTATTTTCTACAGACACACCTGACAACAACTGTTGGCGTAAGAAATGAGTCTTTTCTATAAAAAAAAAAAACTTTCTACAAAGATACCCTTCTGTTTTTTCCTCACCTCAATGTTGAATAATCCCAAATGGCAGTTTGCATTGCAGTGTCTAAACTTTTTTGTACCTTACTGACAGCATGCCACATATCACAAACTCACTTGAAAATATGAATAAAGTTTTTAAAAATTCTCCCTGCTACTTTTTTGATTCATGGGAACTGCTGATCTTTGTTGTCACATTTCTCTGATTGAAGCTGCAGTATGTGATTGAAAAGTTTACTTATATCACTGAAATAACTTAATTCCTATACCTGTACCTTCATATAGCTTTTAGCACTAACTATTAAATATGGTCAGAGGATGGCGCCTAGTTTTAAATCAGGCTTGCCTCAGTGCTCGCACAAACTTGATTTACACAAAAATAACCATGATATTTTATCAGCATTTGTATGACTGAGTTTCTTTAGTTAAAGGCCCGACTAAACATCCACTAACAGCATTTTCACTCATGATTTATAAAGATTAAGAATCACAACTCGGGTAGTTCTGATTTTGTGATGACTCATTGTTAAATCATCCGTCTGATATATGGATAGGAAAAATTCATTACGTTACACCATTACATCAAGTGACAGAGGTGCTTTACACCTATGAAGTAGGCTTACAGTGTTAATTTAGGGAGGCAACACTCTAGCAAAGGTCACTAAGAAAGCAACAACGCTACTATCAGTAGTAATTTCACATGTCAAACAAATACATATTTTGAATGAGCAATGCTCTCTTAATGTGAGCAGGACAACACTGGCACAGAATCTGCTGACTGTTTGCCTCTGAAAATGAACTATTTATGGTGATGGATGGTTTGCCCCTGGTCTGTAAACTTATTTGAGAGAATACGTTGAAATATATATATTCAGCAGGTTGGTGGTAACTCCAAACCTAAAGAATGCTGGATGTGGTAAGTTTATTTCACAGTAGCTTTTTAGGGATACTTGTCAGTTTGGTGTTCAAAGCTCATGTGTAATATCACAGTGTGTATGGAAATATTTGTATGAAAGTAATGCTGATGGATTAAATGAAACTTATTTGACCAATAAAGACTAAATCCATTGGTGTATTTGGTCGTCAGTGGTTGGTTTGGGAGAATAAGTCACTTTATTAACAGACCTGGACTTTTGAGTTGGAAATCAAGTATTCCTCATTTATGTGAAAGCAACATTATGTGAAGTCCAGTATGTCCCTCTTTCTTCCCCCCATCCCACTCCCCCTCTGTCTGCTCTTAAATTAATTCAGAAAACAGCTGTTTTGTTTTCCAGTCAGTTGGAAACAAAAGTGATCATACTCTGTGATAATATTTCTGCATCCTGTTTTTTTACTCTGGAGGAAACAGTGGCATTTTCCTGGCAGAGGAGCTTGTAATCTGATCATTTGACTACTTAAACAGTCTTTCCTTCACATTCTTGACATTTTGGCATTTCAAACATTTTCTGAATGAGTGGAAAGGTGGTGGTAATGACAGGACTTCTATCTCAAACATCAGAATTGATTTTGGGGGCACACAAGCTCCCAGAACTTTAAAAGTGTTACCCTCCTGAAGGAAAATTACCACTTCACTTTTGCTGGGTTCTTTGCTTTTATCCATGCCACACCCTCATCTCCAAAGCAAACTTGCAAATGCAAACAACTACTAGAAAACATTTTGCATAAGTAAATAACCACACTGGGCTCCCTTGATGTGTTGAAGGAATTCTTTTATTTTTGGCTCATATAACTCAATTTGAGTTCCCCTCTGCCTCAGATCTCCTAAAGAGGCCTTTTCTTTTCCCCAATGGAACAATCATTCCAGGGAAGATGAGTCCACTTCCCTCTAAATATCCCACCACAGACTTTCCTGCGCATCTTTGTAATTATATTTGGTCAGACAGAGGTTAAATATTAGCTGTGCCCAGGGGGTAGGGCTGATTATCCTGCCCTGTGAGGGATGCCTCTCAAAAGCATGAGCATCTTTTCTAAGTTTGACCCATGGGCCTGAAATAACTGAGAGGATTCCACAGAGCCGGAGAGCTTGTTTACAGGGTAAACATTTGCTTCCACTTTTCAAATGAATGTTTGGTAGAGTTGTTGGGCTGTTCTAGATTCCTTCATGTAATTTTTGAATGACCTCTGTGAAAGCGTGTTTCTTATCGAATCACCTTATAGAAAAGGAAAAAGGAAATAATTTACATTTTTTATCAAATCTACATAATACTGCTTTGGGATAGTTCCTGGTATGACTCGTAGTATACACACATGTCCTCTCCAGGTACTCTGGTTTCCACCCACATTTGGAAAACATGCGTCAAGCTGATTGGGGACACACAATTTAATGAATGTGAGTCTGTGTGGTTGTTTATTTATGGGAGGCCTTGTGTTAGACTTGTACAGGGTGTACCTTGCCTCTTGCCCAATGACAGCTGATAGGCACGGGATGGGCTCCAGCCTCTCTGTGACCCTACAAGAAGCTGTACAGACATCCGATGCAAATAGAGATGCTTTGGGATAGAAGAGTTATGTGCAGACTCTTTACATCACTAAAGATGAAAAGATTTAATAGAATTTTTTAAAAAGTCATGTCATTCATGTTCCCCAGTGAAACTATTCTTAAAACAAATGAAATCATGAAAATGAAACAGATACACTGCAAGTGTAAAACTGGGCTAAAACTAAGACCTTTCGTTCTTCATTACATTGCATTAATTGAAAACAATAGAAACTTTATATCGTAATTACGAGATAAGGTGTCTATTTTTAAAAAAAATTAATGAATGAAATAACATAGCATTTATTAGATAGTAAATGTTATGTCGGATTCATGGTCAAACGTGTTAACTCAGGTCAATGTGAAAAATGAATCACTTTTTTGTCGTGTCACACATAAAGCTGTGAAAAGTGAAAAATACATAGATGTCTAACAGTTAATTTATTGATAACTACTTCTCTACGCAAAAGTCTTGAAAGATAAAGAGAGTTCCAGGGACCTAAGAACAGGGCTGTTAAATGGGATAATAATCACAAACATGGCCATTTTCAACAAAATGGCTAAAAACAAAAAGAGTAAAGGTGTGGTATTTGTGTAAAGTTTGGACCTCAACTTGTTCCATCAACTGTGTCCAAACTAACTTCAGTGAACTTAAGACACCGTCAGTTCAAAGAAAAATGGGACAAAATGTCTCCTCAAATTGAAAGAAATTGATTATTTCCATGTGTTGCTATTACATTTGTTTTTATAATATTCTTAATTAAAAATAAACAAAAAAATTCTGGTTAAAAAAATCGACAGGACTCAGTGAATAATTTCCTAAATATAGTAATTAAACACTATCAGTACAATATCAGCACCTACTTACACAACACAAGAACATCCTGATCCTCATAACCAACATGACTTTGGGTTAATCAGATCGCCTTTCACCAGTACTTCATTTATTTGGTCCCACATTTTGGGCCCACAACACCTCCAGGAAGCTATACATTGATCACTAGTGTCCCATCATCATTCTCCTAGTCATCATTGCTTCTCACATGACAACAAATATCTTCCACAAGCAGCATTATTATCAGCTACCCAAGCCTCTCACATACTGTATACTCGTAAAAACGAGCGGTGGGGATCCTCACAGAAAGGTAGGAGTGGGATTCAAACCCTGGTTTGGGTAGGGGGTAGTGAAAGAATGGAGGGTGCCCGATGTGGAGGCAAGACAAGACACAAGATTCAGATTCAGACCAAGAATCTGCTTGTCTGCTCAAACTAAGAATGCCGGCAAATACAAGGTCTTAATAAATACTCCTGTCATGACTGCCTGGTTTTAAAAAGTTCACTTGTGCCAAACCCACTGAAACACTTCCTGGACTTTTTCATGTTTACCCAAAGAAACTGTCTACCCTAAGTGCTCCCCCTGCTGGGCCCCCCAGCTACTACTTTTTTTTTAATCCAAATCGTCTGACTGGTCCTTGATGCCTCATTTACCATATGTTTTCACTATGTTCCAGACACTCTGTCCACTTATACCCAACTCCCACAAAAAAAAACAAAAAAAACAGACCCTGCTTCAAATTCTTACTTCCACTGGGCAAATCCTAACTTTCCATCGTCTCTGTTCCGCTTCTGGCCCTAACTCTACACACCAAAGCTATTTGCTTTTATATACTTCTAACACTAAGTCCTTCAAAGAAACAGTCCACAAGACTATATGAGGCCTAAGATTTGTCGAGGCTATATCATGGGGAACAACAAGCTTTTCTCTTAAATCTACCTGCGTCTCCTAATCACAATCTTCCTCTAAACTGCTTTGCCCCCTTGTTGTCCTATAAACTTTCTCCCCCTCCCTTCATCTTAGATCCCCCTAAATTTACCTGTGATCATTCATCTCAATGTCTGGAGCTAAGCTTTTCAAAATATGGTAAGGTCACCACGTATAACAGCCTTGTGACAGACTAACCTTACAGCCTTAGAGTGCAGTACCTCTGCATAACTAGTCCTAAGTGAGTCTCCATTTATCCAGAGTTTCAGGTTCTTGGGGGACTTATTAAAAATATAATCCTACTTTCCTCCATACTCCACAGTGCTTTCCAACAATGCTTTTTCTTATTTACACTTTCCCTATTCAGCCACTGTCCATTCATAGCCTGAGCCACTGCCTTTGTACTATTTAACATTTCCTATCTATGAAACTGCTCCACAACAACCTTTCTCATCTCTTTGGTACTTGCTTCACTCCACACCAGTTTGCCTGTGCCAAGCCCAAAGCCTTTCCATTCTATTTTAACGTTAGCCACAATCTCCTCATGCCTAAAAGTTGCTTCTACTTGGGTTTGAAACCACCTAACTAACTACTACATCTCTACTCCCAGCTTACAAGAGGTATGTCCTAACCTTAGTGCATTTAAACTCCTCTAGTAGACTAGATACTGGGAACGGGGGTACACATTCCCCACACAGTTCTGTCGTACATAAAAATAAAGGAACAAACTGCCATTTCCAAATGTAAAAGCTAGATAATTTTCTATTTTCTCTGCAGCACATACAGGAATCTCATACACAGACAGCGGCCACATCAACCTAGGAAACAATCCAAACTGCAGACACCAGTAGTGTATGAGCTCCTGGAAGCCCTGATTTATCTATTCTTTTCAGTCCGTCAGCAACATCCGTCCAAAACTGCCCTACCTGCCGTTATTCTTCAAGACTATGTTGTATCACATATCTAGACTTCTTATTGATGTACCCTAATTATGGGCATTTCCTCTTTATCTATTGCTTACAAAATGTTATTACTAATTATCTATACATCACTTAATTTCCCTCTACTTATTGACATACTCCTAGACTTACTTATTTTGATTAAGTCTCTCAAATACTATCTTTGTATATTCCCCTGCTAAAGTATGGGGTGTAATTAATTTCTCTACCTCTACTTTTCTTTTAGATAATCAAATGTAAACTGTATGTACGAGGATTGAAGGCATTGTAAAGAAGCAACATATCCTGATTTTTATTTCTTTATTTTTTCACAGAGACAGAGAACCTGGGGACCACAGTGCTGTAGCCATTAACTTGGTGATCACTGCAAGTATCACTGCAGTATCAAAGATTCTAAAGATTATTTTTTTCTTTATGTTGTAATTGTGAAACACTCCTTCTTTCAACAACCATGTGACCCTGATACACTACTTAGATTTGCAAAAAAGCAAAAAATCTTCCAAAAAAGGAAACATTTAAGGGGAATCTGTGCACTATATAAACTGCACTATAACATCAGTCTGCATACATGATAGTGTTTGACTGTGTTAAGATTAATGGATAACCTACAGTGTATAAGTCACAAGACTCTACGCACACACTTTTAATGTTCAGAGCAGCTGGCTCACAAATGGTAGGAGGATACAGGCATTCAGGGCCAACAGGCCGGAAGCTTTCCTCTGCCCAGTAGCTTCCTGTTTTCAGACACAGCCCAAACAGAAGGGAACTGGATGACCCTAAAGACTTCCCTCTGATCTCACTGTCTGACAAAAAAAAAACACATAGGGATTCAGTGGCATTTGCAGTTTTTGTTGTGTGTATGTAGTGTAATTATAATAAAGCCATATTGTGGTAAGATTTTCCCAGGTTGTATTTGTATACGTTTACTGACATGAAGCCATTGCCATCTAGTGGATCAAAAGTAGACATAAAAAAGTAGAATGTCATGATCCCTTTTAAAGAAATATGCTGAATATGCTGAACTGTTCATACATCACATTGGCATTTTCTTTTCCTTTTTTTGATACTATTGTTATCATTGGCTTTTATTTTTGCAATTGCTTTTACAATCTGAAAGGAAGATTATCAAAACATCATGCTTCAGTGGTTAATCGTTTTTAAGTAGCGCTCTAAAGCTAGATACATATTTTATTGAAACAAACATCTAAGATACCAGTGAAAATGACAAGAAATGTATCGCTAGACCTTATTAAATCCAAGTTTTGATCAACTTGATAATGTACTTTATTCCCTTCAAATACAAAATTACCTTAAATAGAAAAAAAAACATGACAAAAATTGCCCTTATGTACAAGTGATTGGTTTACGGACTGATATTAACTACCTTAAAACCCTCAGAATATTTCAGATGATACAGAATGTAAATACGAGGTGTACAAGCAATTCCCATGTCATAACATATTCTCTATTAAAATTCCAAGATATTATCTTTGCCAAGTATTACTTGGCTATTTTTATTTGTCTTTAGAGCTCCTAAGAGAAATTAACTAAAGACACATACATTTTAGTCCAATTTACAAAACCATGCACTTTTGCATGGTTTTGAAAATAATGGAAAGACAAATGGAATCTTATGTAAAGTAAAATATTCAGTTTCAAACAAGTATAAGAAAAAAAACTTTCTCACGCTGAAAAAAAAGAACATAACAAAAAAGAACAAAAAAAGACATATTCACCCAGATAAGTCTAAGAAATGTCAAACACTCAAGACTTCTACAGAACTTCAGGCTTTCCTGCAGCAAGCATCAGTAGTAATTTTAGCCTGTGCTGAGCTCTGCAACTTGAACAAAATAGCATATTTGGTGAGGGCCAAAAAGGACACCATTATTGAAAGAAAGGTTCAAAGAGGTGATATGAAGACTAGCGCAAGCTTTCATACAAATACAAATACATTTCATACAAATTTCATTCAAATGCGGTGCAACTGTTTGTTAGTGGGTTGAGAAGTTATACACATACAGTTAACATTTTTAAAACATGGTGGAGGCCACTCTGCTGCTTTTAGCACCTAAAATCGTTACGAGTATCAGAGAAAACAATTATTATGGTGGCATTTTAGAGAGAATATATACAGACATGTGCCAGCTAGAGTCAGAAACTGAAGGCTAGGTTTGTGACAGAAAAATATTTTTAGAGTGTAAGAATCATTTTTGGATTTCTAAGAGTAAAAAAGAAAACAAGTTCTTTCACATGATTGGAATTTTCTGCAACACAAAAGCAGTGTTCATTTTGCAATTGCTCTGACATTTTCAAGCAGAATTTCTTCAACAGCACCAGGTTGATGTTCAGGCTCTGCAGGTTCAAGCTTGTCCACTTTAAAGTTTTTCAGCTTGGTGTCTTTGAGAATCTGAGTGATAAGCTGGTCGTAAAACCACTCCAGGTCCTGAGGGTCGTCTGGCCAGGTGAGATATTCCCTCCTCTGGACAAAAGCTCTTACTGCATTGCACTTCATCAGCTGGTAGTGAGCCACCTTGGGGTGAATCACAGCAGAACAGACAGAAAGTCAACCCCTAAAAACATTCTAACTCGCTCAGACAATCGTGTTTTTTTTTAAAGTTGCCCATAGTATGCTTTACTCTGATTGGTTCGTGGAAATCAATGTTAATGCTTATGTTAGTAATGTAATGTTAATGCTATGAGGATTTTAGAAAACAGGTGTCAGCTATTACACACCTTTCCTACCACCACCATGATTAAGATGTTTGTCAATTCCTCCAGCATTCGGCTCTGGGCAAGAGTGAATGCCTCCAAGCACCATCCATCTACAAAAAGGTACAACTTAGTTATTCCAGCTCAATTTTTCAAAATATTTCATGTTTCAAGCCATTGTCATCTAGCAGAAAGACGGTAAGACAGCAAGAACTGACAAGGAGTGGATGAGCCAGGAGAGTTCATGTATAAAGAAAAGTGATAAATTGAAATAGGGCAGCTGAGGACAGGAAGCAGTGAAAGGACCAGAATACATGACAAGAATTCATGTAAGGTAATGTAATCAACTAAGAAATGTGAAAGGAAGAAACAAGAAACACAGTAATACGCCACATTGAAAAAACAGGAAACAGAACACGAAGAAGTAGACTCAAGAAGTAGGAAACAAACTAAGACTATGGGAAAAGGAACATGTAAACACTCAAGTTGAAACAAATATAATAAAATAACCCTATAAAGTAATTCAAGGACCAAAAATTCCATGGACACTGTTAATAAAAATGTAAATTAGAAAAACTGCAAACTTTACCTTTAAGGAACTCCTTGGAAACAATGCACAATGTCTTTCTACTGCCCCAGATGGCATCTCTGATGTTTGAAAGGTGATCCTCACCAGGTAGGAAGTCTCTGGCCTCAAAACAACAACGCAACAAATTTTCCTCGGAAAACTGGTTATCTAGCTGCTTAAGCAAAGCAGCCTCCACCCACCGATAGTTGTTGTTGCTGAAGCAGACAAAGGCATCAAACTTTAAGTCATTTTCAGGAGGAGTCCGTTTTGATCCCTCAAGAACTCTGCCAGCAATCTTTTTGTAGATGATGAATATTTGACCACGCAGGTGTGCATAAATAATCCCACAAAATGTGACACTCGTGATAAGAGTGGCCGACAAGGCAAAGAGAATGCCTTTGAAGGCATGAACAGTTTTCTCATCGTCTTCCTCACATGGTTCGATGATCATGGAATATTCCAGCAGCGGAAGGCCATTGACAGCTGATGGAAACTCACACCGGTAGTCTTGAACTGGGCTCAGAAATGTTACATTGGTCATGTTCAGCCATTTCAGAAAAAAATCCAGGGTGCAGTCACAGTGGAACCGATTTTCTGACAGGCTGAGAAAATGGAGAGACTGGAAGGTCATGGGATCAGGGGAGGCTAGGTAGTTATTTGAAAGGATGAGAATTTTTAGGCTGACTGGAAAGACACCTGCATGCAGATAGGTCAAGGCATTAGATGAAAGATCGATCCCTTCAATTGAGCTGAGACCTTTAAATATGCCCTGGGGGAGAGTTGTTAGTGAATTTAAACTCATATTTAGACGGATCAGATTCTGGAGATTATCAAAAAGGTTAAGGCACTGTCCCTGTGACCAAAGGATCTGCAGGGAACTGCCATGAAGATCTAGCAATTGCAAACTATTATTGTGGGGTATTGCAATGCCCCGATTTAATATGCACCACTTGATGAAGTTGCCACCATAAAGTAAATACTTAAGATGCTTCAAATGAGCTAGAATCACATAAACATCCTCCATATTTGTTAATCTATTGTCTGAAATATCTATGTATACAGTGTTCATACCAAAATCAATTATTTGGCTGAGTGTATCTAATTTATTATCTCCTAAGGACAGAACCTTTAGTTGTGGTAATGACTCAGGAAAACCCATGTTTCGTAATGAGTTTCCAGTCAGAACCAAAGTTTCTAACTTGGGAAGACCGCTAAATGCTCTGTATCCAAATGCTCCAATGTGATTGTAAGACAGGTCCAACAGCCTGAGTTCTGTGAGACTGGTGAAAGTGTGAGAAAATATTTCTCCCAAGAGATTGTATGACAAGTTCAGCATTTGTAAATGTTCCTGAAGACCATTGAAAGCGTCTCTCTCAATCTGATTTATTTTGTTTTGGGAGATGTCAATAATTAATGCATCTTTTAGAGGACTGAATACACCGCTCTTTAAAGAAAAAATGCGATTTCTAGGGATCTCTAAAATGACTATTGAACTGTTCTTGAGGTCTTGGAATGTGCAATTATCAGGATCAGGAAGATTGTTGTGTGAAAAATCTTTTCCAAGACTATCAGAATAGATAAGATGACTAATTGGTGTTCCTTCGATTGCTTTGAAAAACTCTCTTGTTCTCATACTTAATCCATTACCAGATATATCAAGAACATTAAAGGCTAGTCCTTTAAAAGGGTTTCCGCAACTTCCCCAAGGAACATCTGAGTTATAGAACCTGTTGGATTGCAAGAGTAGTGTAAATCTCTTACCCCTGAAACCATTTAGATCATCTTCACATATCTTTTCAATCTTATTCAGTTTAAGGTTCAGATATGTGAACTTTGTCAGATTTGAAAAGAAAAGGCCAGGACGGAGTCTCACTATATGGTTACCGAAAAGGTTGAGCATTTCCAAGCACAAAAGTGGCTCTAGATAGCTTTCTGTCAGTATGGAGTCTGACAAACCGCAATAATCCAAGAACAGGTTTTGTAAATTGAATAGTCCCACAAATGCCCTTGGCTCCAGCTTCAACCCAACATTAAAGCCAAGCACCAAATGTGTGAGTTTTGTCTGACTGAGAAAAGCCCCATTCCTTATAACAAGAACGACATTCTGGTGTCCAAGATCTAGATGCTGCAACTCCACATAGGCCCTGAGTGAGGTACTGTTGATCTCACTGATGTAGTTCATCTCCAAGTAGAGGTGGGTGATGATTGGAGGTAGAACTGGAACCCAGTAGTGCCCCTTTGAGTGGCAATCAGCATGTTGACCCTTCAAAAAGCATGATGGGTGGTCTGTGTGTACCTGCAAACAGGAAAGTTACATTTGATTTTCACAAATGTATCTCGCATAATATATATAAAATGCAAATTAGCTGCACTTTATGATGATTCGGGTCACCAGCTCTCTGTACTCAGCTTCCTGTCCATCCCTAATACACCTGAAAATTACAGTCATCTGAGCATTTCTGTAGATGACAGGAGTCTGGAGTGCTCCTGGCCCCCTGGAGGGCCTCTGCCCTATGCTCGTGGGGGGCTCTGTTTGGGGGCTTCCTTTCTAGCCCTCTGGGTGAGGGGCTAGTTGTCTCCATGGTGGTTTTCCTGGTCTCTGTGCTCCGGGATGGCCTTTTTCATATTGATGGAGCGGGGCCGGTGGCGGCCGGTGGTTCCCTGCATAGCTGAGCACAATCTGTGTGAAACCTGGGCTGCGTGTTCTGCACGTCTGTGCTTATACACACACACGCACACACTAACTCGTTTGCCCAGACACACACCTTTAAGCTTCTGTGCAGTTACCGTACAAATACGAAATAAATACTGTATGTCGTTACTACCAGTGTCGTGGCTTCCTGTGGTTTTTGCTGCTTGTTTTTGTGGGTGTCTCTTCCTTGTTTGCAGGTGCTCCTACAGGTTTTCCCTTGGGTTTGCCCACAGTGACCACAGGATATTTTTTGTTTTCTACAGATACAGCAGCTGATGGTTTGGTTTTGTTGTCTTTTTTAACTTTTTTTTCTCTCCCTTTTTTTCCTCTCTTCTTGTCCCCCTGTCAAGTTTGGTATGACTTATCTTACTTCTGTAACAAAAATAAAACTTAGATAAATAATAAAATAGTATTGGATGATCAAGGGAGGCTTTTCACCCTGACAAGCCTCCCTTGGCAAAGCAGAAATGTTGGGCAGGGCACGGCACTCAGATTCCAATTCTATCGCCATAATGCTAAACACAACAAGGGGGAAAAAAGAAGTCCATAAATCCGTAACAAAAAAAGAGAAACAGAAATAATCCACAGAATTCAGATGATAAAATTAGTTTTGAAATGGATAAACAAAAAAAGCATTTAAGGAACCTAAAAGGTGGGTTGTAGTAATTTCCTGAATTAATTCAGATAGCTCAAGAAGGACAATGTTTAACATTTAACAAAAAACTAAAAGAAACAAGGCAAAACATGTCATGACTACATAACTACAACATTAATTATGGACCCCAGACGATAACAGAGCAAATAAGATATACATTACAAAACAGAAAGTATAATCTAAACTCTAAAAAAAACAAAAAAGAAACTGAATTTATTACAATGGCACACTAAAAAACAATGATTGTGGCACATTAGTTTATCCACACCATGCAGTATACTTCATACAATGTATCTTCAGAAGATGCAACCTAAAACAGAAGCTGCTATGAAGAACTTTCACTCTTGTTTTATATTGTAGGTAGCAACACTGAAGACAATTATTATTAAAAGACCAACTACAACAATAAAACTATCCTTATCCAAAAAGTATGCTTCTATTTGACAACATTGTTTTTGTGGACCCTAAACATCCCTTTAAAATTCAACATAGTACTACTGATGGTTGGGAAAGCAAGTTTTTTCCTTGTGAGTAAAAATGGGGCCAAAGAGACATGGAAACTATATTTAGCAAGAACAGCACATTAATCTATGATGTTTAAAAATAGGTCCATGGCAGGATTTTGTATCTGATGGACCACTTTAGTGTTCAGTGATTTTCTTTTTCATAAAAATATGTGTAAGGTTACAATTTTCTGATTTCACTCTTAACAAAGAACTGAACGAGCATATTTGGGGAAACTTTTGTTTAATCTGTGAATTAATTAAAAATTAATACCAATTGCTCTAAAATAAGAGAACTGATGATATAATGATCTGTTAAGATTACTGATATATACGTACCTGTAGGAACAAGCCAATCCAAACCAAGTAATTCACCAGCATCCACATCCTGTTTTTACCTAGCAATGATAAATAAACCAAGGAGAAAGTAAAACAATAAGGTTAGAAAACTACACGTTGTTGCATTGGCTCAGTGGAACTGTCTGGTGACAATATATGTGTGTGTGGTGGGACTTGTAGGGGGAGGGGGGTGTTTGCTATAACAGGTTCATGGGTCACTGAAGCAACTCCTGAGTCATTGATAAGTGCACAGTTAATTTAAGCACTGATATGAAAGTTCCACTCAGATTCTGGGATTTGTGTCAGTGTTGGACTAGCAACAACTCATAAAGTTACGATTATTACTGCTGTGGCACCTGTTCCATGTAATTAGTGTTTATGCCTGTTAAATATTTGATGTTTTCCATTTTACAGTATGCAAACAGAGAAAGGTTGCTTTCCTTTACTGTCACAATCAAGCCAGTACAACACTTTTGTAAAATTAATTTCAGATTGTGTTTACTCTGTATTCTGGAAGTCTGATTCTTCCCCCCCCCCCCCCCCCCCCATGCTAAGAAGTGAGATTTCAGCGTGACAGATGCCTCTCTCGAGAAAAAAAAACACCAGCCCTCTCCGGACTGGTGTCCAAGCTATAAACAATGGACTGATGGATTTGAGCATTAACTTACTAAAACTATTTGACCAACAACCTAAGCTGCCACCTGCAATTAAATGGTATTTTTGTCCATACAAAAACTAGATATTATTCCGTAAAATCTCTAATAGGGTTGTAGAAGTGAGCCGTTCAACAGATTTGCCCCCCTCATATTATGAAATATGAACTAATGCGAACCATTTAACATCAACTCTAGCTATTTTTAATGCACGCGTTTCAATGCATTAGCAAAACAGTTGGAGAATGCATAAAAACATTCATATCATACTTTAAACAACCCCAAAAATGACCAGTTAAACTGGAAATCCCTATTTCCCTCAATATTATGTTAACAATTTTGGCTGTCACCATGACGGAACAGCGTGTTACAAACTGAATGGTTTTACCTGAGCTGCTGACGGTTCCAATCACAGATCTAATCACAGGTTAGAAATGTCTTCTCGAAGTTAGACAGAACAGTAGATCTAAAAAACTCAATGTTCCTGTTTCTTCAAATGTGCTTTCTTAACGGTCTTCCATAAAAGAAGCATGTAGCAATATCCCCAATGGCCACATAACTCCTTCCTATTTCAGCATTGGAGTTGTTTATCATGTTTGGCTGTGCTCCTTCTTTTACTGCGCAGCTCGGTCTTTGGCGACACCTACCAACTTTCCAACATGCTGCATGGAAAGCCAGCTGGAGTTTATGTGAAGGAAAATATCTGTAAGTGCTTATACACAATAGAACAATGACAGTGAAAAATAACACTGAACATTCACCCGTTCTTTCAGTTAAATGTGTGCAACATGTTCTCATTAGATTTGTTTTCAAAATAAAAATGATTCCCCTTTTATTATTAGCAACAAACAAGACAAGTCTTCAAATGGGAAGCATGTATATCACCAATGACACTGAAGTCATGATCAGAACTTCACCTTAGGACTGACAAACGTAATTCAAGGTTAATAAATTGTTGCTTGTTTTGTTAACCTATGATAGTTATGAAAGATTTAAGATTGCTGTCTAGAAGCCACTATGCTGAGGGAAATGGGGAGGAAAAGGCTGAGGTTTGCCAAAAGAAAAAATAATTGGCTCTAAAAAAATCTGCAACAACAGGTCTTTCGAAGGGCTGCATCCTCTCCAGAGGATTGTGTTTCAGAATTATTGAAGCAGAATGATCTTTACAAACATTGCAACAAACAGCTGTCAACCACAAAAAAAAAGCTTGAGAATGCCGTTTGAATAGCTGGAAGAACTATTTCTGAATATTTAAAGAAATGACATTAAAAATGGTTTAAAATGTTTTAGTGTGTGTGTTCTGTTCTCATCAGAGTTTATGTGGTTTATGATAGCGGATTAGCTGTTGCTTCTTAACGTAACAACAGAAGATGTTGTGCAGTGGGTTCCCTTTATTGTGCACAAATGTAATTCTATTGATTCCCCACATAGTGGCGCTTTCACCCCGTGCGGATGATCGGGTGGGTGAATGAGCATCAAAAACAAATAAACAAAAAAACAAAAAAAACAAAGAGAAAAGCATGACACATGTCCATCACTTCCACTTTTAATATGGCATTACAGACTGTTAAAAATGAAGGGTTTTTCTTCTTCTCTTACATGGCACATGTTGAGTGATGAATAAAAGCCATTCTACAGGGCAGTTAAAATCTTTCCTAAAAGAACCCCGGAGTTATTGTAAAATATTGATCTGTTGCAACATGAAGTTGTGTTGTCTATGGCTTCCCCACATCCCTCTCCTAATCCTTTATAGTTTACCTCTCCGAACAGAACGCCATGTTTTTTTCCACAAACACATGACTCGCTGTCCTACGTAAGCGTCCAGCTCATAGCGTCTCAGTTTTTCCCCTCTAGCTATCACTGGAGACTTGCTCTAAGACGTGAGCCTCACCCTCGGCAGCCTTGAGCGCCCCGCTGCTCTCAATGTTCCCCCTGCGACCGACCAAGAAGTGAGCCATAAAGACCAGCAGCACAGTAAAAAACACAGTGCAAACAATTATTCCCACAAGACCCCCTGCTGACACCGCGGAGGGCCTTGGCGTTGGACTGGGATAAGGAATAAATGTTAGAGTGGGGGGGTTTGGGGATGAGCTCATGCCAGAGCCCTCCTGCCCTCCGTCTGTGTCGTCCTTGTTTCTTACGCACTTATATTGATCGACTAACTTGTATCCTCGATAGCACAGACATACATAACTGCCGAATGTGTTCTCACATTCCTGATCGCAATAGCCAAACATGCATTCGTCTATGTCTATGCAAAATGTTTCATCCACCCGCTCATCTGCAACGTAACCATGGGGACAGTAACACTGGTACCTGTCGTTCGGATCGCATATAGCTGCGCATTCTTCCATCGCGCAGTAAAGTTCACATTTGTCCGGAGAGTTCTGATTAATTTTATATCCATCATAACAAGAGCAAGTGTAGCTGCCAAGCGTGTTGGTGCAAATGTGCTCGCACGGAGCGGACGCACACTCGTTCTCATCGACGCATAGTCCGGCACTCATCTTGTATCCAACTTTGCAGACGCACTGAAAGCCACCGACGGTGTTGACGCACCTGAAGTTCTCCCCAGGGCATTGCCGCTCATCTGCACAGTCGTTGAAGTCCACGCACGACCTACCGTCATCAGCCAGTTTAAAGCCGTGATCGCATGTGCACGCGTAGGAGTCCCCGCTTTTGTAGCAGACCTGTTGGCAGCGGAGGGCAACGCACTGGTCATCTGTGGCCTGTACCTCACACGTGACTTTATTTGCGGGGTTGACAGTTTGTCCCTGAGGACAGTAACAGGATGGGACTTGGTTTGGGTCAACGGCGCATTTGTACTCGCACCCACCCTCATATATCTCGCAGCTCCAAGGAGCCAGGCGCCACTGCTCAGAGAAGCAGACATATGTTTTTTCAGATGGCATTCGAGTGGCTACAGTTCCTGGGGGCAAAGACAGCAAATTTTCCCCGAAATTCCCAAAGGGGGTCTTGTAGGACACGGACTCTCCCGGCGCAGCTGTCAGACTTTTGCACATCTCAGTGAAAGTGTACTCGCAGAGAAAACCAGCTGCATGTTGGTCGCACGGAGACTGGATCCATTTAAAGTCGTCCTCTTTGGAAACGGAGACACAGTGGGGATTAGAAGAGCAGTCGGTGTCAAAGCCTGGTAGCCAGTTGCTGAAGTCACTTTCGCTGTCTTTGGTCACCCACTGGAAGCCTTTCAGCAACGCCGTAGCGTCTGGGCAGCCGCTTATGAGGTGTAAACCGATCCAGAACCTCCCAGTAAAGTTTCCCAACAAGATGGAAAGAAGATCTTGTGACACGGAGGAACGCACAGTCATTACATGTCCGCCGTCAGCTCGGCACCGAATTTGCGCGCTTTGAAAATCGCTCGGATCTCGGAACATTGTGAAACATTCATTCCCAATACAGTACCCGTTATTCGCCGTCATCCCGCCAGCTCTTCCCATCAGGAAAATTAAGACGAGGGCAAACAACCTCGTGGCATTATACATGTTGGAAGCTTGGCTGTGTTGGTTTATCTTCTCGTGTGTTCCGTTTTCATTTGACATGTTTGTTTGAGAAATTCTTCCGTAAGCATTTATATCGCCCCGACTCCATGTTAACGCCTCGGCAGAGGAAGGAAATGGGAACTTCTGCGCCGCTCGCTGTCCTCCCGCATCACTGTAATGGGCCGCATCTCCAGTTATCCACGGCCTTTACGCATGCACGCACGGGAGCCGTGGGCACGCATTGGGGATTTTACCCAACTCCCCCCGAAGTAGCCCCTCCCATTTAAACATGTGAGGTTTAGTTATGTTATTAGACTAAAACTAATTTTTCACAGGATAGGATAAAATGTGTTATTTTACACGTTTTTGCATCCAAAAATGAAAATAATTTAACCCAAAAAGTAGAGAGATTAATGAGAAAAGGTGTTTTGGAAACAAAGAAATATACCTTCATGTCAGATTACAGTCTGGGCTGATTAAATAGCTGGTTTGATTTATTTCAAAGATCTGAGATCCAAATAAATGAGTAAATGTTGAACATCACAATATCCTAATGAGAAAATATATAATTTCTACGTAAATAAAATAAAAATCACTACCTCTGCGGTTTCAGAGGAAAATTAATTGAAGAGATATTTTAAACAGACATACAGTTTTGTAGTGGTTTTATTATGCCTTGTGATTAACAAAATGCCCATATTGTCTGTTTCCATTTGGCACAACAATTAAGCACAAAGACCGATAGTAAATATTGACAGTAAATCAATATTCAACAAGAGAAAGCTTGCAAAAGCCTGTTTATACAGTGATTAAACATGTCAGTGTGGCACACATTACATCCAAGAAATGTCAGTAGCAGCTCAGTTTTACATTCACGTGAAGCTGACCGGATCAGCCTGTTATACAAAAAGGTTATAAATGTTCAGCCTTGTGTCAAGTGTACTTTAAAATTGTTCCTAAAAATGTGATATTAACAGTGTACATTAAAGTGTGACATTTCAGCAGATGGCCTGTTGATAAAATGAGCCATAAAGGCCTGAGGTTTTACATCTGAACCTACAGGATGTGAATCTCGTGCCTTTTAATTACCAAAACTGACCGGCTTACTTATTGTTCTTCTAAACAAGATAATTAGATTTGCTTTTTTAAAGTCCCAAATGTCATGAATATAAAAAGAACAGGAATTTATTATCAGCAAAGTTCTGTTAAAATGAAGCATCCCACAACATAAAGGCATGTTTCTCTACACACTAAAGATGACTGTATCAACACTCTGATGTGAATTTAGTTGATCTGTTTTAAAAGTGAAATGGTAAAAAATAAATAATAGGGGGATTATTTTTGAATAATTCAATATTTCTGGGGTGTTTGATTGCTTGAGGCATATAAAGATAACACATAATTTCCAATGTGAGATCGTTGAGAACTACACTAAAACTTGTACCATGGCCCACAAACTTGTTTCTGCACCTTAAGTGAGTTGCAGAAATGTTCAAAACTGAAGCTTACTTATTTCCCTAAGGCCAATGCTGTAATTCTATGGAGAAATCTGTTAAGAATTTCTCTCTCTTGCTCTGTGGAGTGCTTGACACAAAAGAAGAGATACATTCAATTTCTATAATACTAATGGTGCGCTCAGAGTATTTGCGAGTTATTTTTAGACTGTTTGTCAAAGGACAACCTCTTGTATGTCTCTGTTGTCACCTGCTGCAGGTAGAAGATGTCTGGGTGTTTGATGGTGCAAAACTCTAATTTCCTGCAACGTTTTGATACGTGTCTGGCCATGCAAGCCAACAGCACTACACAGAGCAATAGGAACACGGTGATCCCCAGGACGCTCCCAGTCTTAATGTAAGAGGGCAGAGAAGCTGGTAGAGAGCTAGCTGGCGTACTGGCAGGAGTGAGATGTGCAGGAGTTGACCCTGATTCATCCTCTTCCACACATTTCTCCTCATCTGTAAGCCTGAACCCTTCATTGCATAGACATCTGTAACCACCAAATAGGTTTTCACATCTGTGGTCGCACATCTTTTGCTGCTCACATTCATTGACGTCATGGCAGAAACCAGTCTTGTTTCTTATTTCTACAATAAAGCCATTTGGGCAGAAGCACTGCTGCATATCCTTCTTTTCCAGCTCAACGTTGGGTACACATCTGGCT